ACGGTTGCTGTTTCGTTTTCTTATATTTACATAGATAATAGGCACCGTCCGTATTGATCGCGCGAACATCTTGAATTTGTTCTAATCCAACTTCTAACATAATAAATGGACTTGGATCAGTCAAAGAGACAATATCAGTAGAGTTTGATGTTACATACTAAGTTGAAATATCTGTTGATCAGCTATATTACTTTGAATATCATTTGTAGCCGGTTTTGTCGAAGGTTTATTGCTACCATTTCAATTATTATCAATACGACGTTTACCACATTGTTCTGAAATAGATAGAGAAGAACAATTGATTAAACTTTATTTAAGAATTTTCTTCGTTCCAAAGAGATGTCTATGGATATAATATATAGCAGATGCACTGGTTTCTACTTCTACGCAGAGTTGGAACCGTTTGGAAAAGAATCAATCGGATCAGTCGACTGAAAAAGTTTATCGGATTGGACCGGTCCTTAACGTTTTTTATAGATCGATAATACCCAGTCAAAAAACTTTCAGTTTTTCTTGAAATAGTTGTTTTTATTAGTCTATGCCACTAAAACAAGCTGTACGTCTCTTCTAACCATTTTTATTTTGAGCTCTTTCAGGAGGTGAAAATAGAAATATCTGTCGACACCACGAGAAGCTTGGGTTCAGCTATGTATCCTTGCATGTTCTTTTATAGTTCATTACTCCCTGAATGCATAGGGTGTGTTTCCTGAAGTTCATCTCGAAATTATAGGCCTTATTATATGAAAGTAAAAGCCTGTTTTGTATATTGTTTTGAAACCGACACCAAAAAAATCAAAAATTACATAAGCTTTTTCTGGCTACTAAACCAGTAAAAAACCGATGAAAATAGGCCGACTGAAAAGTTTTAATCGGAACCGATAGAATAATCTGTTAATGGCTGATCCGTTACTGATCTCGTTCAACCTCTGCTTCTGCTGCATTCATGAAGTTTCAAGCCTTTTACTAAATCGCTGTTTTAACACTTCGCTGGAACAAAACGTCTTATATTTACTTCTGATGTTAGTGTTTGATGTTCTTGCTACTAAATGATTTGACCTGCCATCATCTTCTCCAGGTTTGTGATGTTCATTTAAAGTAAATGTTGCTGACTGCTGGGGTCTCCGAGAACGTGTATGATAAGTTGGTGTCCAATTATTTGCACTGCCTTCCGATAATAATGATATGGTTATTTTTGATGTTTTAACGTTGGCAAATGCTTCAACTAATTAGATTAAAGAGTAACTACGCTTCGCGAAGATTAGAAAGTGAACCGAGTGATACAGATTAATGAGAAAACAAATTTTTGTTGTAACAAGAAGAAGTAAATATAAGAAAACGAAACAGCAACCGC